TCTAAAGGCCTTCTATACGCCATAAGCCCTATACATAGCAGGTAGAGAAGGACGATTCTCCTTTATAAATCATATATCTATTACTCGAGGCTGCTTCCAACCGCCCCGCATCTATTATAGCCCTAAGAGACAGTCACCGCATCGACCAAATTTGAAATATGCAGTAAGAGTTCTGCCGCGCGCTTGCATGGGCGCGTTGGCCGCACTACTATTACTTCACCTACTTCTGCTTTGCCGCGAGCTTGCAGGTCCTGCCGCGACTGGAGGTCCATTGTTCGAGAAGGCTGCCTCTCTATTGTGACATGGGACAGGGTCGCTATAGCAGACGCGTCTTCGTAGGACTTGAAATGGAAAGATGAGCAAGTGCCCGTGCTAAGGTAAAATGGAAATTCGATGGGGTCCTAGTCGGGACCGGTGTTCCTGCAGATATACCATGTCTCCCGTGCGTAACTACTATTATACCTTGTCCAAAAAGGTACAATGCTGTCCTATAAAACAAGCTAGCTCTCATGGTATACTGTTTATACTAATATTATACAGTGTAAAATGTATAGTAGCGTCGTCAGAACTCACCGATGACAATCTACAGTAGGTACTTATGAAGTGAAACTGAGCGGAATTTCCCTTCCTCTATATATCCAGATCTGGTAGCGAGCTCGGCTAGGCTACTTTTATTGCAGATAAGTGCAAGCGTAGTATAGGTAAGCTATTGTGATACTCTTCTTAGACCTTCTCTTCGCTCATCTCCGCAATCCTACGACTAATGTTTGCGGCTTTTCCCCTTCTTCATTTCGCCTTGCGTTAAGAAGTTAGTTCGATCTCAACCAGTCCGTCGTATTTCCCCATTCCGTACCATTGCAGACCGGATGTACAGTAGCGTGGTCCACGCAATGCGTAAGTACCTGAAGGGACATTTGCAATAGCCTACGCACACGCAATTGATATACGACTATTATATACTGCCTAGCTCATGTCCAAAAGTCCACTTTCATGCCCACTCCGTCATTTCCCCTGCCTCCCTCCACTACATCCTTGCCCGTAAAAATGCCGTGCTTCGCATGGCGCATCTATGTCTACCGTCGCAACGTGTAGCGGAAAAATAAAGGGGATCTTTGTACGAGTCTGCGAGTGTGAACAAGGGATAAGCCCGATTGCCTATGGTTTGTGCGACACCTCAGGGATGCGACAGAGGCGAACCGTGGAGCTGGGGCGCCCACCAGTGTCGTTCCTAATGCCCTTGTTCAGCGGCCTGCCAGGGGATAGTAGGTCTTGGGGAGATTTTGGGGTTCGGTGCATGGGCAAGGAAGCGAGCACGCACACACAAGGGGGAACCCAAGCAGCCCGTCTTGTCAGATTGGGGGGTTGAACAGGCATATTTCCCGTTGTGGGGGAACCTCGAGCTTGACCTCCATATTATATACATAGTACGATAATAAAAATAATAGTAACCCAAACTAACAATCAGATAGGTACCCAAACCACTATGTATGCGTGGCCATCAACTACACTAGTTTTAGAATGGTTAAGCTTTTCTATGACCAGACAGTTTAATATCATAATGTTGATTAGCTGGAGCACTAAGCTTTGTCGCTAGAGAAGATCAACCTAGCCAAGAATCATGTCCACGTCTTGACCGGTTATTTGATCCGCCTATGTAAAATAAATAAATAAATAATAAATAATACTCGCATATGCGTAGGACAAGTAAGAGATGAAAAAATATATATATCAACCAACGCCGGTCTGAACATTATCATACAAATTCGATCATCAGACCAGAAAACCGATAAAACGTGTAGCTCCGCCTTGCAGAAAGGAGGGAGCCTCACGCGGGATGCTGAGATAGAAGGAATGGCTGAAACATCCCCGGCATCTCAACGGCTCATCCGAGTCGACAGAGATGACTAATTCGAAACGAGCACGTACATTAGGGCGTTTTCAAACCCGCCATCATCACACACACTTTTCGCGTGGTAATGCCAATCATTTCTCGAGGATAGGTACGATAAGGAATTAGGACCGGAAAGTAGCTCGAACCGGATAGACTAGATTCTTACGGGAAGCACAAACATATTGTCCCAAGAGAACCAAACAATATACGCGTAGCTAATTTGACGGCGAACTATACAAGATAGGAAAGATCATCCCAGCCTCCCCCTGAAAGGTACTTGAAGATGTGATTTCGGGCTAGATATCTCCGTCTAGGTCTTGTTACTAGGCCACATAGGATTCGATAGCGGACGCCGACACCGCCTGGCGCGGTTTCGCCTGACAGTACCTCCGGCTTTTACTAACGCGTAAACCGGCAATTTCTCATACGCCTCGCTCGGGATACTACCCACATAGCGCGGGTATGTATAGTGATTGTTGTCATCTGCAGACACAATCCTTCTTTGAGTGAGATATGCCCAGTGCATTCAACTTACCTACTGCTTCTGCTCATAGGAGAAACTTCAGTCCGTCGCTGATTAAGGCCAGGTCCGGATACCGTAACTACCTCGCTCAATATTTGCTTATTACACACTAGTGTCACCTACATACGAATGCTGGTGGGTTTAGGATTCATCCTCGACACCATTCGAAGGGACTCGGGTTCAAAGTTGCCATTTCTAGTCGGCAAGTGAGGGAACCATGACGTATAATGAGGAGGGCTATAATAATCTCAAACGTAGGTACCTCAAGGGTGGTAATCAAATTGTCAATACTGCGCCGTACGATTTGATATCAAGTCATTTAAGATATTACGGGTGATCATTTTTATCAGTTCTGTAATCATAGCAAAGAAGTATCCCCAGATAGTGCTCTAACATGAACTTTTGGGTATCTTTATTATTCGCCAACTGCATTTAGAAATATTAGGGTTCCATTAATGGAATATAATTATTAGCATCATAATGATCGTTTCTAGTTGTACTGTAGTATTTACCATATTAACTCCATTATCCAAGTTGCCTAACTAACATCTAATCTTAACTATCTCGCAATAGGCACTCTTCGTATAAATATCTACTAGGTAAATCTTCTCTAGACAAGCCTAAATAACACCGGGCTAGAATTACGGACTCGAATAGGATTTCGAATCGGACATTGTACATCGTGCATTATATCGTAGACCATAGTTTTCAGGGAAAGGCTTTATTTATTCTATTACAACGACACCTTCCTAACCAGTTTACTCCTTACAATAACTCAATTCAATATCTCAAAAGTAAATAGGTTGACCACTGATGCCTCTCGTAGTGATATAATTCGCTCACTTCTACGGCGTACACTTTCTAACCCTTCATTTTATATTTGGGACCACAGTCGTAACGCGACCGAGGTTAATGACGAATTGATTGCTAGTCAGTGACCCTAAAGGTAGTTGCAAATGGCAAATAGTTCGAGAGTGAAAGAGATGTAAGGGGCGGCCGTCGTGAAGATTTAGACACCTAGGTAATCTTCATTTGCTCTTTCTGAAGCTTGTCAACTTACATTCTCCTTTCAACTCTCTTTTGGATTGAAATCCCATGCGGTTCGTATTCGACGTGTAAAGCTCCAACTTCGACGGTTAATGGCATCGTTGTGGTAGGCTATCGACAGTGAAGCCCAAATTAGGTAGGTGGATAGGTAAGTGAGTAGCTTTGAATACACTATACTTCTGGGTGAAATGATGCGACTACCAACTCAGATATAGGATGAAAGAGTGAAATATATGTAGATACTCCATAGTCCGTTCATTTCCATCCTTACTCTGCCTGTCGTCTGGATGAAGCAGAAATGCGGGGGTTTTGAATAAATATAACAGTACGATATGCTAAACAGCAACTTGGTTTCTCACTTGGCATTGAGTGGTTTAGCCATGGAGAATGCCTTGAGACAAATAGTATAATTACCTTAGGTAACCTAGATAGATATACTATAGACTATAACAACAGTTGCAGTACTAACTGCGTGTCTACCTTACTACCATTGGGAGCACATCGGACTATACCTCACTCCTGTACTTCAAATAGTCTGCTATGAGATACTCTACCCCCTTAAGCATCATATTCTCTAGTGGCAAGAGAAGAAATATTAGGTAGATCGTGAGTGAATTACGGGGGAGTCTCGACGTTGATAATGGCTGACCCGCTGCTGAAGTAGCCTTCCGTAGCGACGATCATGTAGTTGTGCGTGCCGAGCTTCAAGCCAGCCTTTTCCCATGCCGCGAAGTGGTTGCCTGTAGTAACAGTACCTCCTGTCCGCTTTTGCGTTCGCTGGAAAATCCGCATCAGCATATCTTCATAGGGAGGTGCGAAGAACCGCTTCTCTAGAGGGGAACTTGGAAAGGGGGAGGAGATGGAGAAACCACTTACGATAGACCAATACTGCTGGAAGGTTCGTGTACCTTCAATACTCGGCTGGTTCGTCTATAGAAATATTAGGATTTATTATTTGAAGTTATGTAATAACTTCAACTTACCCGTGTGCTAACGTAAATATCGTAAGTGCCGCCATCAGTAGTGACTGACCCCTTCCTCTGCGCGTTTGAAGCTGGGTTGTATGTGCCAAAGTTCTCAACGACGTAGTACTCGACGAGCGGGTTCTGAGTCCAGCCGTAGACGGCAAGGTACTTCATATAGGGTCAATATTAACTCCTCAGGACAGAATTATTATCATTGGAAAGTACTTATACTGTTGCCATTTGGCTGGTATGAACCAGAGTACTTGATCTCCCTACAGTCCAGAGAGGGTAAGCCAGTTAGAATAAAAATAGCCCCCCTTTATATTGAAATAGGGGTGCGAGAGCGGGCTTATGCTTTACTTTGAACCACCTGGATTCCATCCCTTACCGCCGACGAAGTTACCGCCGCCTCCACCTATGACAACCTTTTGTTATTAAGTGTCTATCATATATCGAGACTCATAGATCCATAAATGAAGCCACAAACATGCTCCCCAAGTTGGCTTATGGCACTCTGAAAGGTAATAATTAAGGTAGTGATTAGGTAGATACCTAACTATGTTATATACGTACCCCATTTCACGCTGTATTTGCCACCTGCTTCATTGGCGTAGGTGACCTGAGAACCGCCGTCGGTCCACCACGAGAAGTAATAGCCATTGTGGCGGCCTGTGGCACTGGGAGTAGACTGGCGCTTCTCGAGAATACCAGAGTCCGTAACATTAAGCGGCGAGGCGGAAACCACGCATGTAAGGGAAGCCCACGCGACGATTAGGGACTTGAACGAGACCATGATGGTAAAAGCTTAAAAATTAATTGCTTTAACCCCGAGCTGACCGGACACTGGAGTAGTCAACAGCATTGCGACGTGCGCCGCTTTTATACTGTCGTCCTCCCGCTGCTAGTCGCCTTGGAGATATCAGGGCCGTCTGGATCCCGTACCTGACGATCCCCTTTGATACACACCATACCTGAATAAGCTTGAGGCCGTATACGCCCTCGAAGTTTTAGTAACCGCATATTGAGCGCGTAGGTTAAATTCACGATACTACGTCCAAGCAGGTATCCGGCATCCAGGACCCAGGATAATACATAGCCCAGAGCACTGGAACCAGGTGAGCGTCATATAGTATCCTTCCTATGGAGCCGCATTGCTAATCCATTTTGACTCGTTGCGGAGTGCGCCGCGACTTCTAGACCGCGATTAAGGCCATCGTGGAATTTTGCCGGAGGGGGAAGTCTCACTTGGCGCTGAACGGACCAACCCGCCATATTCGGTGTGTTATCCTTGGTGTTCTAGGCATCGTGAAGACAATAGAGCCGTTGGTCAAGAGGTTTACTTGCTTTAGGAAACTACGGCTGTAATTGTCCGTAGAGTATGGCTCTGGGTTTACGTGGACCAGCTTGGCCGGGTGAAGGGAGTCGACGGCCCGGTTGAAAGTAAAGGCTCGATTGAACGATTTAATTTAGAGCTTGAAATCGAATTCTTTCAGAATGGCCCTTGTTAGAAGAAGAATACTATTCCTGTTTGCTATTATGTAATAATGATGGACGTAGGGCGTGCATACATACACCATTTCATGAACGGATAGGTTTCTAAGGTTAAGGCTATCGCTAATAGGTATTGCCTTGTAGCGACAGAGACGCTTTAATTTCCATAATATGTCTCAGAAATGGCATCTACCTTCATAACCATCACTGTGAGTTGGCCTAGTCGCGTGTCTTGAATGTTTCCAAGAGCCAAGCAGGCTAAGGGGTTTAAGACAACAAACACGTGTCGATGAAGTTGAGACTGTCTGTACTGTTGGGCCGCTAGCATTGTTTTAAGGTCTTACGCAAGGTCTTTTTGAATCTACAGAAGACAATCTTCTGTCGTTGATATTTGACGATGCTCACTTATTATGGCCTAACCTATATCGGAGTTTTACTTACAGTTGAAGCTTGTAGTCAAAGCCGAGAAGTTAATATTACGGAACGAAACGAGTAGAGCGATTTAAAATCAAATTTTATGGCCAGTAATAGAGATATACTGTTTTGGACTCCAAGATCTTGCGGCGCTGTGGTGCTATTTCTTTGGAGAGCCAATCTAAGCCACGTCGCCCCGGACCGTGGCGATGGTTTCTATGAGCCTAGGAACCACGAATTTTCTAATAAATAGCAAACCTTCCTAAGGTAGTAGATAGCGTCTCGCGCGAATAGGTGTTGAGCCTCTAGTTCCGAAAATAGTGATCACTTCATTGCGCCTTTACGGGATATGGTGTTGAAGAGGGGAGAAGTGATATTACGAGGATGACTAAAGTTCTCTCTTTTGACGCTTGAGTACCTACCTAACTATTGCTTTTTACTCTCTTGGTAATGACGTTTAAGCCATGCGACGGTACCTCAACTACGTACGGCTAATTATAACTCAGTTTTTATAACCCATATGGCTTCCGAGATTTCGGAACTTTTGTAGGGACCTTGGAAGAAGTGGTTGAACTCACACCGAGACGTACATCAAGCTAACTAGACCGCCATTGACCGCAACTTTGCTTTATTGGAATTTGGAAAAAGTCGAATAAGTCAGTGGCGCTGGGTTGGACGGGCAGCGTAGTGCTGACCATGAGGGCTGATATAGCGGCGCTCGAGCTTAATTGTACATAGCAGCGACTATGATGACGCTTTCGCATCTCTGGTGCTAGTGCAGCCTCCTCGAAGCTAACTTTCTGACTGGAAGATAATTTGCTATGTCTCAGCTTGTTCATGTCGTATGACTGTGTTAACCTTCCCCTAATCTCAGAACGAAGGCACTAAATCTCAGCCCTGAGTCTCAATTCCAAGTCCCGTAATATTATTCTGGGCCTTAATAAGTGAATTCTCATTACCTTCTAGGCACCACTGATTATACAGAATAAGGGTAACTATAGAGCCGTATCCTGAATACTCGTGAAGAAAAGGGCGGTGACGATTCATAACTAATCGGGCTACTACATAGTGTAGAGATGGCTTGACCGAGGTATGGTGAACCTCGGAGCCGACAGTTGAATGTATTTTTTAACCCCGTAGCTGTAAGAAGATACGGTACAATCTTTTCTCTCACGGCGCGAAATTGATCATATGTTTTACATCAGCCCATGCGAGATTAAATATTCCAATGTGATACAACGTGTTCATAGTTCTAGGCAGGACCCTTAAGGAGGCACAGAAGCTCGACTATTCGAATATTCCAAAGACTTCTCGCACCCTAGGGCTTTAATTGGTAAACTTGAACATGCTATAGTTAGAATACTTAACTCGGGTTCTATGCGGTTGTGCCTGTTGGCAAACGCTCTGCTCAAATAGAGATCTTACGGAACGGGAAGATGCAGCCGCTCCCGTGGTGTAACACGATGGAAAAGGGGTGGGTTTAATTCGTTTAAATCGGATCCGGAGGCGTGGTGGAATTCGCTTCCTAGTTGATATTGTGGTTGGAACATGTTGGATTCGGGGAAGGAGTTTTGTATTAACGTCTTGAATGCTCTTATTAGCCCTTGACCGGAGCCTAAATAAGACATTATCTTGGTTAAGGCAACTTAATATAGTCCATTGGACCGTTATGTTAGAATTGCCTCCATATGTACCCAAGGTTGTACTGTGTAACTTGTGCAACAGGATGAATGCACGTACGGGAGTTATTGGTACTGCATGGGTTTATGAATCGATTAGGTGTGCAACTTTCGAATACTCTGTTGTGGCTTCCTCCTGATAACCCTGAACGAACACTACGTCGTCATATGCCCTATTTTCTGGGCGACAGTGGAATATGTTGACATGATTAAATGCCTTCGCTCCGGTGTTATTTCCTTATGGGTACAGTAAACATACAAGGCATGTATTCGGACCTGGGTGTATAACCGAGCCGAGCACCCCTCGCAGATTTCGCTGATCTCTAGTCCGAGCGAGCCTTGAGATTTAACTGCTGTTAATCTCCTAAGGCTAAAATATGTATATAAAGGTGATACCGAAGCGGCACATCGTTGAGGATGGGTTAGTTGGATAGTAAGGACGACTGTTCTTTGTATCAATATCATAAACCTCTACTTACTGGGCCGACGAGAATGGCGAAAGGGACCCCTCATATTCTAATCGTAGGCGGTGGCCTGGGCGGCTTGCTTCTCGGCCAGACACTGCGTAAGAATAAGGTCTCTTTTGAGATTTTCGAGCGAGATCGCAGTGACAATATTCGAGTCCAGGGGTGGGCGATTGGCCTCCACACGTAAGTGATCCTTAACGAGATAGAGAAGTGTGGGAGCTAATGATTAGCAAGTATGCTTGAAGAGCTCGATACGTCTATCCCCGATGATATGCCATCACGCGATTTCGTAAACCATTTGCTGCCCCTGAAATACAACTATGAGTGTGCCTGGTATAGGCACGATCGCACTAGAAAACTTGGAGTCCGTGACGATGGCAGTGGGAAATTTATTCGTGCGAACCGTGCTCGACTTCGGAAGTGGTTAGCAACGAACATGCCGATCCAATATGGCAAGCATGCTGTTCGCATTGAAGAACATGATGATTCCGTAACAGTATACTTCGAAGATGGGACTTCGGCCACTGGCGATATCCTTATTGGAGCGGATGGCCCTTATAGTCCTAGTAAGTATTTGGGGTATCCTGGGCAGAAATAGGACTGCGTGTTGACTGACCTTTAGCCAGAAAATACCTCCTAGGCGGGAAAGATGTCATCAAGAAACCACGCCAAGGGGTAATAAACGGAGAGATCATCCTAAGCGGCCGCGATATGGAGGAACAGCTCCAGATAGGGTGTTCCTGCTATCTAGTCGATGCGAGTTTGACCGATGAAGCCCCCTCGTTCCTTTTCGTTGGCCTAAGCGAAGCTTTTCCTGATGGGAAATCCGGCAAATATTTCTTTAATTTGTTCTGGCGCGACGATGAAGCAACTAAGAAGGATTTCTGGACGTACTCAGCTAGCAGTGAGAAGTTATACGAGACAGCGTTGGAGAAAACAAAGCATCTGCCGGCCAAGTTCAGATCTATCGTAGAGAAAACGGGACCTGAAGGAATGAAAAACCCGCCCTTACACATCTACACGTTGACCATGGACCCGGAGTTATTGCCTAAGGGAAGGATTACGTTACTTGGTGATGCTGCGCATTGTATGCCCTCATGTAAGTGGCTATGGTGAATCTCGCGACTCAAAGAAGAGACTAACGTGAAAGAACAGTTCGAGGCGAAGGAGGGTTCCACGCCTTGCTTGATGCGCTCAAGCTTGGGAAGATCTTAGCGCAATTACGGGCAAACAATACTGATGAAATTAAAAGGGTGCTTGGGGATTATCAGGACGAAATGATTGAAAGAGGATCGAAGGCCGCGGAATGGTCAACTACTGCTTTTGACGAAGCCTGGAGTGGCGAGGATGCCGGACCTCGCATGATTTGGGGTCTGCCTGTAGTGCCTCTGCCCGATGAGAAGGTTACTCTGTGATATCGTTTTGGATAAAATTGTACATGTTGGTTAGTGTGTTGAGTACTGTGTTGAAGTTGAATAGTTAGAGAATATGGGATAATACATGAGATGAGCTTTCCTCAAGTTTTTGTACGCCAAGATAGACCCGTGGCCTATGACCAGTATCCAAGTAATACCCTTAAATTGAAACTCCTCATAACGTATATAACCTGGTTAGGCCTTGGCCTCATAATGCCGCCCATATCTTCTGATTAGATATTAGGGTTGTCGAAACAGTTAGGAAGAGGCGACAATGGTCGGCTCAACCAACACTGGGTTGCTTTCCTCCATGAGGCCCCAGGAACACTGTATTAGCCATCGAAGTTAGTGTTTGAGTTGGTAATGCATTAAGGAGGAGATATATGGAAGGATAAAAATGTACTTACCACACCACTACCACCGCAAGTCCCTCTCATATTTTCTCCGATAGCGAAATGCTGTGTTCCGGCCAGGACCTTGTAATAATCCTCCCCGTTCGCCGTCAAGTTGGTCGTGAGCGTGAACTTGACATCGAAGTCCTCGGTTGGCGACGAGTAGTTGCTGTTTGCCTTAATAATCTCGATGGTCCACTTTGAGATTGAATCCGAAAAGACAGATTGGTTTCCTCCCGTCGTGCACTCGACAGCACGCCCATATGGTTCTTCAACAGACCACGTCCAATCCACTGTGCAGTTCGCCGTGCTAGGCTCGAATGAGGCCCCCGAACCTGCGGGAATGGAGCTGGGGTTTGCGATAGTTGCCCATAGATGGGCGAGAGGGCTGTTTCCCGGACGGCCTGAAGGAGAGAATGTAGATAGTCTGGTTACTTCCCATGGCTTTAGATCTGCATTAGGTTGTTGATGTTGCTCGGATGAGCGGCCGAGGGCGAAGAGGCTCGTAAGAGCGAAGAACTTGAGGTTTCTCATTTTGTCGTAAGATCTGTATGTGAAATCGGTATATGAAAGCTGTGTGTGATGCGTATGTTGACTTCCAACTGGAACGGGCTCACTCAAAGGTTATATACAGCTCTCTGCTCGAATTATGGTTTGCTACCATGGCGTAACGTTAGTTTATAGCGTAACAGTGGCTGATCTAGACCGAGCTTATTACGAGAGTCGGCGTAGAAGGATTTATACTCGGACCTTGTCATCACGGACGTCGAATCGGCTAAATTGCCGCGATCGAACCATTGATTATGATTTCTCACTAGACCTCGGACAACTGAATACGAGATACGTGACCAATGATAATAAAAATTATTTTTAACGTGGTGCATATGCATGTATCGTTGCTCAAATCTCGTTCCTTGCCTCGTCTAAGCTATGGCACGTTATGTATGGTAAGCTTGGACTTGGATGAACGTTATGCGACACTAATATACCTATTTATCCACGTATAGAAAACCTAATATAATTCACTTTTTAGTAAACTCCTCATCGCTAACCTCTACTAGAACGTTACCGCAATGTTCTAGCAGACGTAACCGCGTGTTCTTGCGCGCTCGCAATCATCTCCCAGCTCCACCAGAAGCTGGCCTTGGCCCGGGCTCGTCCGGCCATGCGCGAAATATATCGCCAAGCTTGTCCAGTGGCGCTGTCATAAGGCCAGCAATAGTCTCGTATGGTGGCTTATTCGGCGCGCTTGGGTGGCTACGTGTTGGCGTGAATATCTTCGTCATCTCGAATTGCTGGGCTAGGTCTCTCGACCTTGTCGGCCGTAGTGCTTCTTCCAGTTTGACGAGATCGCGTTCCTCCTCTTGTTTGATATGAATTTTGAGATCCGTCATCAGCGACTCGAGAGTTGGGATGAAATTACTATCGTTAGGGGTTAAGTTCTGGAACTTGTAGAGCTGCTCTTTAGTCTGGGCGACGAGAATTTGTTAGCATATACTGTTCATATACTGATCGACATAAATGGAATGACTTGTATAGGGATGTGCTACACGTACTACCTGATGCTCTTCTCGATCTTTATCGGCTATCTCTTTCCCGTTGTTGAGGCCCGTCTCTATTGAAGGATATACAACTAGCTCTTCGGCTATTGCATGCCTCGTCAGCTCCCACACAAAGGCATTTTGGTATCGCCGCTGAGTATCATGATCCTTCGAATTGACAATCTTGTCGTGATACTTTTCAATTTGCCGGTGGTCCTCTTTTATCACCGCCGAGATGCTGCCTGCCTGGGAGAGAGTCTGCGCTGGGTCATTAGGGGAACGACTGTCTCGAATCGTCTGATTGTCAGAATACGGACGAAGTAAGGTTATAGGAGTCGGCGGCACAGATAGTTGCCGTAACCCAAAGTTCCTCTTCCGTGCCAGTCGAAGTGATTGTCGGAACATGATAATAGTGCTTACACCGTCAACGTATCGCGATTCTCAAGCTTAGTATCTTGAAGATCGATCCATGGTGACGATAGCTTAAGAGCCGCGAACAGGTCGATTGATATTAATCGCATCTGTGTTAATCATCGCGTCAAGAATTCGGACGAATGACGGTCATTTCCGTCATTAAGACGTATTCGACGAGTTCTAGTCCGATCCATTCCAAGCGCTAGGACGAACGGTACTAATAATAAATCGTTCGCAATATGGAACATCGTAGTAGCTAGGAGCAAATGGTAGTATCATGTATTATCTTCTACGATCTGAAAGACATTTGCATCTAGTAACTGATCATTGGCCAGGCGCTCCTGAGCCGCAAGCTTTACGTAGAGGAAAGAGAGGAAGATAAGATGGATCATGACGAGAGGAAATGAGATCGACTATGATCCCTGATACACGAATAAATTGCACCCTTGCGATTCAAATAACATGAAATATGTAATTATGAGCACAGAAAGAACATCTGCAAAAGAAAGACTTTCGATTTTATATAATAATTAAGCCCCTAATCATCAAATTCATCAACATATGTACCTCATATACCAAATATAGGTATATATATCCAAAATAAATAATTAAATACACAGAATCTAGCGCCAAGTTCCCTCGACAGCGGTCGCAGACGAGCCGCACGAGTTCGGCACCGTGTACGAGCGGTTCGGGTCGCTCTCCCACGTGGCAGCCCCGTTGCTCGCCACCTTAACGAACTTGTACTCGAAATTGAGGCCCGGCGCGAGGTCCAGGGAGAGCGTCCACAGGGGCTTGGAAGCCGTGTAATTGGCGGCCGACAGGGCCGGCGCAGCCGCGACGTCCCAATTGCCGAGCTCGGGGATCGAGCCCACGAGCTTAATCGTCTCCCCGTACGATGTTACGACGGCCTGGTTGAATGTCAGTGCTACTACACTACTAGCCGTGGCGGTACACGCGGCGGTGCTGGTTGCGGGGGCCGTGGACGAACTGGTTGCTGTGGATCGCCTGGTCGTTGTCGATGCGGAGCCGCCGCCGTCGGCGATGGCGATGTCCGCGCACGACAGGTATACCTGAGGCGTCTGGAACGAGTTCCACTTGAACGAGAGCAGCGTGTGGTTAGACACGAAGTCTGGGATCTTGATCTTCTTGGTGACTGTGTAGCCCCCTGCGATGCTTGTGAAGCAAGAGTTCAGCGCCGCATTGTCGACGCCCTGGCACTTGGTCTGGTCGCCGTTGTCGAATCCGTTGCACGTGAACCAGTCGTTTCGGTAGCACGCCTGGTCCTGGGTGCAGTCGGGGTTGTATCCGCAGTCCTGGCCGTCAACGTCAGTGCAAGGGAGAAGTCCCTCCTCGAAGCAGTCTTCGGCAGCCTGCTTCTCTTCATCGGTGGGGAGATAGTCAGGGTCGAGGAACTTGTCGACGATAGCCTGGTCCTGGCAGATGCGGTACGCGAACATTCCGCCGTGGTCGCCGTTGTGGTCGACGCACCACTCAACATCGACGATCTGGCCGGGAGAGTACGTGGCTACGATTTCGTTCCCCCAGTCCGCCGATGGCTGGTTGTAGTCAAAGCTCACGCGGGCGTTGTACCCACAAGGGCCTGAGCGGCCGACCTTTGCCTCATCGACATCAGGCCAAGCTGTCACCGGCTCGAGAATCGTGCATTCCGGGCAATCCGCTCCAGACTGTATATATTAAAACAGGGAATCAGCTTCATTAGAACCCCGAAGCTTATCAAAGTAAGTAAACGTACCTCCGCTCCTTGGCGAGTGCGGCTCACGGGGATAGTTAGATACCCGTGGCCGTGGACGAGGGTGATGAGGCTGGAGCCGGCTAACGCAGCGATCGCTTTCATCTTGAAGTGTCGGGAAAGTTGGACTAGCGTAGAGTCTTGAGAGTGCTGAGAATGCGAGGACTGAAGATGATCTTGTGGTTGTCAAAGCTCGTGTAGTCGACTTCATAGCTCGCTGGTTTACTGATATATATACTCGTCAACACGATGCTCATACCGGCTGTATCGCGGCATATACGTGAGAAGGACCGAGATTCTGAATGGGGACGGCGGAGGAAGTTGCTGCTTCATCTGCAGCTAACGTCGCTCTGCTCTATGATGTACCGCCGAGGTCATTTCTAACTTGCCGGCCCTGCTCCTACGCTATAGTTGTCCACTCGGAGGAAGTTTTCTGGGGAAGCGGTGTTATACCTAGCATTAAGCCTCATAACTCCGGGCGTTCATCGGTAGCTCTAGGCGCATATCGTGTTGTGGAGGAGGACCCCGGATTATAGCACTGATGTAATGCATGAACCTAGGCTATATGTAGAATTATCTTGGAGCCGAAGACTATCCTGGGGAAACTCCACATTTACAGGGGATATCTGATCTGGGGTTGCTTGGAGAGCCCGCTCAGAATCTCCCCGTTTTGATAGCCCTTGCGCGGGCCAAAATAAATGTGACCTGGTCCGAGAAAGCGCCGGATGGAACGCGTCTAGAGTTGGCTTGATGTCCGGCGGCTCTTGTGCTGTCGTAGATCTCTCAAATGCATTGCCAGCATTAAGCTCCCTCAGCTTCCGAGCTCTAAACGAATCATCAACTATAAACTCCGCTGGCAAACTCCGCCTTGGACGTTAGACCTCTTAACAGATCAGTTATACCTACTCCAATGAGTCGTGACAACTTCGTTGAGTCGACAAGTAATGGGCCGAATTGGTATCTTAAAACCCTTAGGATTAGGTACGAAGTAGTCTGGGGCGAAACCCAACATTTCTAGGAAATACCTATTTTTGCAATGCCAATCGTATTAACAGACTCGTGATGGGTGCCCCTTAATCATACATTCTTCTTTTCGCCGTTACATCATCATCATGAACAGTTTGCCCGAATTAATCTCCCTTCCCTCCCACTCATTATTCCTTGTTCATTCATTCAGTCGCCAATGGTAAAGGGGGTCGGGTATCAAGCTCAGGAGACTAAAGAAAAAAGAAAGCAGAGCTCATGAACTATTCCTCCGGCTATGCAATCAACAGGAGGGGCATTCTCTACCCAGCAGGTTACTACCGTTGACTTATGCACAATAGACTTTTCGCCGTATTAACTTTTCAAGTAAAAATTACTTGCAGACTAGGCCACTCGACCACTTACACACCTCGAGATGAGCAGCCCTCGTATACCAACGATTCCACCTGCGCCTGTCGCTTCTACGTAAGTGTAAGTCCAGAAAGACTCTCTGTCGCCGAGGCCTGGTCGACTTCATCTGGCTGCCACACTGCCTCGATGATGCTCATGCGGCAACCCTTCGGTCTGGTGACGCCCTGTAACAACAAGTTAGAATATTAGTCTTTAAATTTTGAAGGAAGCAAGAAACTTACTTTGAAGACGAAACCATCTCCAGCCATCTCGAATAGCTGTTTGAAGTCTTCTTCCCCACGCTCCTGTGCGTTCAGCAAGCTCATCATGACGAGGTCCATGCTTCTTATTAGGCGCTCATCCCAAGGGTTTTCTGTGCCAGGCTCTCGGAGGCAGTGGTCGTTGATGATGATTCGAGCGCCGGGTTTTAGTGCCGGAATTAAGTTACGGAGGATCTGGACGGCATAAGGCGTCGAATAGTTGTGCATGATCCAGCGGAAGAAGTACACATCAGCGCCATGGATGGGTTGCTCTGTGAAGAAGTCGTGCGCCTGGAATTGGATGCGCTTAGCGATCTTAACGTCTGCGCATATGGGCTTCGGCGCGCTCTCGACGGTACTAGGGAGGTCCTGTACCACGAACTTGATATTTTTGTACACCTTAGCCAGATGCACATCCACGAAGCCATGACTACCTCCTACGTCGACCAGAGTTCCGCCGCGGGCGTCCACGTCTGTTAGATCGCAGCCCTCTGATAGGTACCATAGTTCGTATCCCTCACCTCCCGTGAGGCTGTTCATAGCTCGTGCCATGCGCTCGGCGCGCTTGGGTTCCTTTCCAACTGTAACGAACACAGGTTCTAGATCAACTGTATCGAAGGCGAAGTTGAATCCGGTGCGGGTAAGGCTCGTCGCTTCGGGGTACGCCCTTAGAGCTTTGACCACTTGGGCGGATGCCGGGTAAACACCCTCTGTATTGAATATCACCCAGGCCTGGAGATCTTGATCCTCGGCTAGTAGTCTTGATGCGGCTGTATGCGCGATCACGCCTGGCTTTAGTTCCTGGAATACATGGTTCGTCATAGCATGTCGCAGCAAGCGGGCGAGGTTGATCGGGTCAAGAGAAGTTTTGGCCTGGAGTTCTGAGAGCGTGATGGAACCTTCAAGGGGTACAAGTGTTGCTAAGATGTAATATCAGCATCTCATGGATAAACAGCATACGGTTATCGTAGACATACCGAGCCCAAAATGGTTGATAAGCTGTAGGCTCTGGGTGCTCAGGAACTATTTTGTTAGGTTAGTATGACAATAGATTCAAGGGGAGTGAGTATAGGCAGTAGAAACACAAGGAGGAACTTACATCCCAAGCCATCCATCGAACCGACTCTCGGGGTCCGACCATAAGATCATGTAGCTCCTGGGTAGCGTGAATGACTTCTCTACGGCTTCTAGAAACATCATCCGGCATAATAGGAAAGTCACCGGGCGCGTCTGCGTCGAAGCTTGGAGTTAGAAGGTCATTATTTTTGAAGTAGGCCTCGACCTTCTCCGTCTCAGAGGCGATTTTCTGCGCGAGCGCAATCATCTTCGACGACGCCATCGTGGGAGGGGTGCTCTTCCTCGGGAAGCTTGCAACTCGGATGTTGTTATTAGGTTCTTCTCTATGAAGCTTCTGCTTTTGATGTTTATTTTCTAGCGGACTTGTCGGCAATTCTAGCGTGTGCTTAAGGTTCTGTCTTTTGCTTTTGTTCTCGGCATTTGAAGAAGTTGCCATGGGTGAAGTCGGGTGGAGCCAGGCAGCCAATCTAAGCCTAGCCATTTTTGCTCCTAGGTGATGGTAACGACGGCAACGGTTGTGATAGTAACTCCTGCGTAATATGCCGAGATTTGCGACGGAAATAAAGTAGGCCGCCAACGCGAATGCAACTATGTATACCTACTAACAGGTATAAGACAGAGAACAACAACAACAGTTTTAACAGACAAAATTAGAGGAACAAGCTATACACAATCGGAAGTATGCAATGCTGTGGTTGTGGTGTTGGAAACATAGGTCAGGTGAATATGAAGACTTAGGAAATGAGTTTGGGCTGCACAGAGCATAAACATTTAGCCTTTATAAACTCGGGAGTCATTATAAGCTAGAGTGGTGTCAACGTTGTGTAAATGAACCCGGAAGCTTCTAGGTAGCTTAGAAGAAGAGAAACAGACCGGGGCTATCAATATTGTATTACTCCCTGAAAGGTGCTTATTACGCGAGACAAGTGGTGCTAGGATTCGAAGACCATAGATGAATGAAGTCAAACTAGAAGATCCGCACACACCCTGCTAATAAGAAGGTTAGTATTCTCATTGGTTTGAATTTGTTCTCTGTCTGGCGCCCTCTTCTGATTTCCTTCGCCTAGTTTCCACGAATGGTTCTTTCTCTTTCTAGATACAGTATATATATATATATATTGTCTTAGAACAAGGCCTCGCAAGAGCGAGTCAATACGCTGGATGCTACATACCTAAGTAGAAAGTATCTTTTGGCCTCCTTCCTCTATGAAGAGGTTAACAAGTACGCCGACTTAGTCGATAAGAAGAAGAGCTATCTAGAGACGTAATTGGTATCGTTAACGTTTAAGATTTGGCGCTGGATGCGATATCTTCCTGAATCAGTAGGAGCTCTTAGGTCTCTTAGGTGAGATAGATATATGTCTGGGACAAACTGGTCATAGGTAATTAAGATAAGACAACTCCAGGGATCTTCCGGACCAGAGAACTGGTTGACAGCTACCGGGGACTTGGTCTTGGGTCCAAGAGGCGTTCGCTTGTGGTGTGTGACACAGCAGACATGTGAAAAGAACCGTGGTTCTCTTCACTTTTCGGTACGAGCAACCGGGGAGACGAGGGAGAGAAAATCTGTGTGCGCGTGTATTGTCTCCGTAGTGGTAAGGGATTGGAGGAATTCGTCCAACAAAGTGGGATCGCGAGAGACACACAGCTCTTAGACGGCGATTACCTTTTTTCTACATTTGTATAACCCGACGTGTCTTAGGCCATAAGGACCCAGTGACTCGGTTCCCAACAACTAGAACGGTTAGGATCCCGACGACCTGGAAAGCCTGAGGGAACGTAGACCCAAGTGTAGATTTCGTTATGTGACTGTTCTGGCTGGTTGGTTGTGTGTGTTGTTCGGCCGTCGTGCGGACCTGCTGTGGGCTGTTTAGCTGCAGTTATCCTTTTCTTGCCCGGGTGTCTGCACTGCAGTGGGCTGTAACCCCTGTACGTTTGTAAGCTGGTTTATTTTTGTGCAGTGCTTCTACCTAGTAAACCTACGGCTGATAATGATTAATACCTGGGTATTAATTTTGTTCAAGTCTATATAGTCGATACGTATTTGAAGCATATTCCTCACAATCAAAGCCTATGAAGCCACCCCTGAAAAAATGGTTGACCTTTCGGGGTCCTATCTTCATATTTTGCTGTAGACCTCTTGAGTATCAAGTGAAAGTAAATTCTGTCAAACATAGGTACCCAGATAAGTTTAGTATTAGATTTATCCCCGTGAATGTCAGGATAGTGGAATTGAACTATTAACGCCTGCCCTTCTATCCTCTTTCGAGGGCGCTGCACCTCTTATATAGCAGATTTACCCCTGAATCTACCCCTAACCAACTTATACCCTGACATTTAATACCTACCCAACGTAGTCGGCCACTTGTGGTGCTTTTCTCATTGGATCTCAATACTAGAGAGGACGAACTGGCAGTCATTATAATGGACTTCAGAAGCAAATAGGTCCTATGATAGCAGTCATCGGACTAAAAATTATATACAAAGAGTTCCAGGGGGAAAGGAACCTTGTATTGCTTTTCTTAGCTAGTGATAATAATGATTGGCTCCTGAGTACGTTACCTAATGACTAAATAAGCACCGATATCGCGAGTTGGAATCTGAAAGAGGCTATAGGTATCTGAATATGGTAATGAGCGATGGTGTCTTAGTTAAATTTAGATGAAAACCAGCCTGTCGGTTCGATCTCATCTGGGAAGTGAAAAGCTTAGCCCGGAGACGCAACGATGTAACGGCCTATTTTAGACTCACATATTCTAGACAATGTATTAGATCTTGAGGCACTGGTTTAACATATACGTGTAAATGTTTCTATATAATATATTCAAGAAACCCCATCGGTGGGTCATCAGGGTGTCTTAAGGAAGTAAGGTTGACTTAGATCTTGACTGACTTAAAAGATGCTAAATGCATCGCTAATGTATTATGATAGGTAGGTAGGTACCTATTTAACTAGCTCGTTATTCGTCATTCAAAATACATAATTGGTATCCGAATTGGACTCTTTACTATTATCTACCAAAAATTACCACAAGGTAACCTGACGTGGCGATAACTTCATTATAACTAGATACTATCGCTACAAGAAGCGATTGGTAAATATATTATCGGATTATGTATTTAGTCTTCCAAGATAATCTTGAATGTCTCTAAATGCAATAGCTCATCAACTGAAGCCATCGTCAAAATTGGCCCTCGATGTGTAAAAAGCCTTACGATGATCATGAACCTTCGTAGAGAAAAACAGCCCCCACCTAACAAACTCTTAAAGCCAAGTGGCAGGAAATGCTTAATATATCTGGAGCATACCTATCTAGGAAAGGAAAGAAACAAGGTGAATCTTAGGCCTGTTGCGATTGTGTATATGTTGTTATGTTGCTGGTGCTTGATATCTCATGACCTCTTAACAGGTACGGTTTTTAGTATCTTATTGTAACACCTGCTCAAGGTATGCTAAGTGACTTAGCTCATTGGCGCATTTATTCATGCCTATCAATGGTCTAGAAGTTAGTATATAAGTGCTTTCATCAATATAGGATCTTTAGCACAAGGGGTACTGGGGGACTCCTCATCTATCAAGGGTCGCTGCACTCCTGAGTTCTTCGGAGAGTAACGCGTCAAGTAAAGTAGGTACTAATCAATATGCAGGATGCCTGGGGTAGACATAGGTGGCATCTTCCAAAAAGGGGGCATAATACATGAGTGGCGCTGGCGCTTGCTATCTGGTTGGCTGCAACGAGGCCGTTAGGATTTGTCACGCCTCCAACGTAGCCACTGACAGCTGTCCCCTTGAAAGGCGGGACGTTGCGATACTTTAAAAGATCAAGATCGCTTTTAGTAGGATGCGAGTATGTACGCCAAGAAATAAATACACACGCTGTGCAAGTAGAACTTTAGCACGTCCAAATATCACCAAACCTGCTGTTCCTAGATAGTCGCACAACAGATATCAGCACACTGCTACCTCGTAGGTATGTCGTGGAATATCGTGCGAGACCTGGGGCCGTAGGAGATAGGTAGCTAGAAGGGTTGAATATGTCATTCCACCTCTCCACCGGTAACTAATCGCATAGTTCTTCGGCAACCTTTCCGTCTAGGTTCTCTTGCATTAGGGTTATTTCTCATATCCCGCCCGGTTTAGCTTGAAGGAGAGGAGGGCGGAGGTCCTAAAGCGTGTTTGTTCCTTTCCTCATTGCCGCCTGCAAATCCGCGTCATATTCACTCGCGTTCTATCGCCAGCAGCGGCAACTGTGCGTATGTGCGCGGTTACTTGCCTGACGTGACAGCGGCCGTTGCTGCATGGAGCTCGTTTTGGAGGTAGAAAGGCTCACTGTGTACTTGTGTATGGGATGGTGATGATATCGGCGATTCTGGATCCGGATAGGCGAATGCCAGTGAACTTGGGGTACCTACATAGACAAGCGGTGACGAATCATCGTTTGGAGCCTAAGGTGCGTATTTGATTGCCTCGGGCGTATGGCACTTAGATATCCCGTAACTATCTGTACCTAGCCAGAAAAAGGAACAAGCAAACAAAAGTGATGCTCGAGATCTTGGTAAGATGTGGTCGGCGTGGGGGAGGTAAGAACTTAATCGGAGTGAAATGTGATATAATGTTGGCGATGAGGTATACTAGGAGAGGAGAACGTTTCACTTCTCGTGTATATGTCGCGCGTGTGTAGACTCAAAGCGCACAGAAGTTCGTTTGACAGGTTTCCGACGCCATCGGGTGTTACCCCTGGCAGGCATATATGATGATATTAATATGTACCTCTTGCATCGCATGTGATAAAAATATACACACCTAACGGATGTATACTGTTTTTAGAAGTAAACAAATTATGTGATATGAAGTTAAGCTTCCTCTCTACATTTCATCGTGTAGCATCTTATACGTATACTGACGAATATTGCTATAGCATTTTTAATCATCTTTCTTGCCGGTCGGATTTGCGAATAATGGGTGACTTCTTCGTAGTACTTATGAGTTGTGAATGTCATGGCGGAGAGCATCATGTATACAGTATATGAAAGATGTTTCCTATTCCGGCTATGGATGATGCTATTCTCCAATGATAACAGCTCCTGCGAGCAAGGGTAGCTAAACGTCTAAAATGAGCCAAACTAGTATCGGTTGATACCGTAGTCAATCTCAATATCTCCCCCCCTCTTCTCCCAATTACAATTCGTATTTTGGGTTTCATTATGCGAGTTTCCCGTCTCCTAACTACTACTCGGGCGAACACCAGTACTCCAGTCACTGACCACCAGGTTTCTGGCCGTAAACACAGACGAGCGGCATGTACAACAACAATGAGTTGTCATGATACCCCTTTCTCACCGAAACCAGGAAGGTCTCGACCTCCTCTCTTCCCCAGTGAAGTCCTCTAGTCATCGGCCCGAGTGCTATGGCTTGAATACCATCCAGTAGGATCTTCTTCCAATATAGCCCAACGCTCTTCAAGGTCTTGTTTTTCGGCCACGTACCGATGGGTATGTGGAAGACGCGTTCGGTTACGTTGATATATCCGCACTGTCGCATTAAAGCGGCTATCCGACCTTCATCCGAAAACCTGAAGTCAACGCCGAGACTTTCAAGTCCCTCATCCACGTACTTCCAGTACTGTGCGACTGGATGGTCCTCCTCAAGGGTATTGTTACTGCTCATAGGGAAATGGTAGATTTCTTGCAGCTCCAACCAGCCCCCAGGCTTCAAATGTCTAATTAAATAGCATTTAGCTTAAATTCTTGACTTTAAACCAGTATAATCATGCCTGGGAAGTGGAACTCACTCGTAGGACGTCATTAACAATTGATCCCAGTCCTTTATAGCCATGATTGTATGTCGAGAATGTATATAATCGAAGTGATTTAACGGATGAAGCCACTCGCTTTCTACATCGTCAACCATGAATCGGACATTAGGTGGCACCCATTGCGGTTGAATAGGACTTAAGTCTACACCAAGAACATTTGCGCTGGGATAAGCATCGCCCACTGGGCAAGTCAGTACTTTGATAGCTAGGCGACCATAAAATAAGAGAGGAAGGGCTTACTCTCGATCGCCCAGATTCCAGTACCTGTCCCGACGTCAAGTATCTCATGGGGATTGTCTCCTATGGGCGCGAAGTGTAGTTTTTGGCACAATAACTTGACCATAGCATGCTTCATATCCTCTCGTTCCTGTTCGACGTCGTCATTCGGAAAGTTGTACCGACCTTCCCTGAACTTGTGGTATCTCCTACCATTCTCGAATGAAAAGTCCCATATACTTGAAGAAACCGAGGTAGATGCGCTTGTTGCCGAATCTGATTCGTACCCGCCATCGGCGACGGATTCGTTATCCAGCACGGTGGATCCGGCCTCGATTTGATCAACTACCTCGACACTGTCTTCCAGTTGCTGGGAATCCTGTAATAGATCCTGCGCATCTCCATACGGATTGTTCTCGTCCCGTGACGCCATAGGCGGTGGTTGCGGTGTTTGTACGGGATAGACATCTGCACTAAGACTATCATTCGCTGGACGGAGCATTGAACATTTTTCAGCATCATGAGGTCCTGGAGGGACTAGCTGTAAGCTGTAGTTCAGTTTTATTGGAAATCCATTAAAATTGGTAGGGTAGGTCGAAAGTGGGCAGGGATGTTCACCAGATCGATCCTGGGGGATTACGCTATTCGCGCTGCCAGGAGGAGTTCCTCCCACGATGTTTATTTGGGGACGAGGTAGGATAATTGGTGTGCTGTTTTTTTCGTCCCCCTGAACTTGAACTGGAGAGAAATCTTTCGGTGTGTAATGTGATATGCCTGGATGAAGATGAGTGCCGACTTGATATTGAAGCTTCGGAGAGACAAGGACCGTTGAACCACGACCGAAGTCTGCCATGGTCAACGAAGAAGTAAATAGATATCCAGATAATTAATGAGACTTGTCGTTATATGTCATTAGTCAGGTGATGAATAGTGATCTGAGACATTCAAGCAGCCATGCGTGTATGCATCTGGTCCTGAAGTTATCGGACTGGCTCGACTAATATTATTGAAAGAAAATGGGGGAACACCCTCGGTTTTCCATTGGCGCCGACAGGGCCTGCTATTCTTTGCGTAGCCACAGCAGTCGTACCACAATGTGAATGGCAGATGGAATACAATTATTATAATGTGGTTACTAAAGAGATTGGTAGCAACAGGCTCGGATGCCCGCATGAGCACCAGAAGTGGTGAATAGGTAGTCTGGATGACAAAGGTATCCGTGTAATCAGGATTGCAATACCGATACACGGCAGCTCGCCTGTAAAGGTCAATCTGTGGGCGAGCACGTACAATAAGAAATGAACAAGAGATCGTATGTAAATAGTATCAACACAGTTCTACCTACATTAGTATTTACCACCGAGTATTTCGCTCAAAAGTAAAGAGAAAATGAAGGCAATATGTTATAAACGTATATATTTAAACGATCATATTTTATATTTATAGTCTTGTCATGTATGCATATAATAACTGGGTGGCTTGTAGTATTTCATCGTTCTCCGTAAATACATAGCATCATCCCCCGATTCGTCCCCATCAGTCAGGGGTCAGGGGTTCGGATAGACGACTCAACTATCCCCCACTTGCTCCTAAAACAGCCCTCCGGCTTTCTAATCGGATCTTTGTGTAGTTCAACTTCACAACCGTCATACTAGTTTGGAGCATGGATATGATTAATTTGCGACGAAGATATGCCTTTTAGAGAATACTAATATCATTCTCGGACGGGTTGTTTTCGGTTCTAATAGTGATTGGCCCCTGTGCTTCGTGATTCGGGTTTTGTGTCTTGTTGCGTCCGTAAGAAGACAGCAACGGAGCGACTGAACAAAAGTGACATCACGAGCCGAGATTCGCAGTTTGCTACAAACTGAAACAAACAGTCGACAGAACAGGTAGATACAGGAACCCAAAGGAAGTAATTGGTTATAATGGGCAACTGCATATATTTCTCCGAGATGACAACATCCCAAACATGTTCCCCTTCAGGAATCCAGCGATTGTCCAATGGATGGTTATCTCCCGGCACCATACAGCCGTAGTCTACTAAATCCCGTGCTCTGTCATCATGATTAATTACATACTAGGTTAGACATAGAGGGGGTAAGCTCCGGCATAATGCAAACTTTCCCTTAGGCTTTTATAGGTACCTAGGCTGTTGATAAATGGGGGAGTCAATAGTGCTGCTAGAACAGGTAGTAGGAACTATAGATATTTAATTTATATGTGATGTTTTAGTAAATTGATGCCTAGGTAAAGTACGTACGGTATGTAAGCTATCCTGGAATTACTATCAGGTTGTATCTCGTTAGAAGTTCTGAGGGTATCCTTACGAAAGATGGCGAGGGATATTAAAACAACGCAAGGTCTTGGTGGATTGTAGGCCGACCGAACTTCGAAGGATACAAGCTAGATCTAGAAATTGCCCTACACGCTGCCCTATCTTTCCGTTGCGTTACTTTCCCAACACGAGCTCCCAAGGCCAAGGGACCGGCCCATTATGAAACAGGACCTAACGGTCGAACCGAAGCGTTAGGAAAACATTCCTGTGATAGAACACGAGCAATTATCCTACTACACGTATCTGTAAGCTCCGAGTTGGGAATGCTTTATTCTTTATTGTAAGAGGTAGGCACCTAGATAGGATATTTAGTTCTATGTTCCCGAAGCGGACGCGCACTCACTTAGTATTATTAACACAAGTGTTACTATTTAGAGCAAGGAAGCTTGGTAACACAGCTCCCGTCGCCTCCTCGATATCGCTTTACATGCATGGTCATCGCCATCGCCATCGCCATCGCCATCGCCATCGCCATCGCCATCGCCATCGCCATCGCCATCGCCATCGCTGCCGCACGCCGGACTCGCCGTCCCATTTATATACGGCATAGAACAAAAAAAGGGGGGGCAAGGGACCAACGAACGTTTCTCCATAATACCTAGGAGAAGAGCTACCCTGCAAAAGCCCCTGAGTGCGGGGAATCCCTGATACTTTTCTTTTACCTGATACCCAACGCCATTTCACTATGTATAGGACCCCGCTTCGATACATTAGGTAGCTCTCATCCATCGTTAATACAAAACTTTCTCCCTCCTCGTGGGTCTTAATGCTAAACACGTATTCACGAATATAGATTAATCAAACCCGAGGAGTGTACTGTGTAACTCCAAGGTAAATGGCGCCGAGCAAGGCTTTCACGTATTGCGAGGGCGTGCCGTCATGGAACCCGACGACATATATCGCTGACGCGGCGCTACACGAACGCGCCGAAGCATTCCTCGCTAGCGATGATTTCCAGTCGGCTGTCATAGCCTCCTTTGCGCTACCGCATCCCCGTCGTGATTCCTACGTCTACCATGCCATCGTTAGCGTTACCTTGGCCGAAGTCCAACATATCGTCTCGCTTGGACGTCAGAACGCCTTCCACGCCTGGTACTTCGAGCCTGCACCCGCACCCGCACCCGCGCCCTCTACCGAAGACGATGGTGCAAAGCCCGAGCAAACCCCATCCTCGAAAAAACTAAGGGCCCTCCCACCACCTCCACGCCCCGACATCGACGCCTACCTCTCCATCTTCGACCCCAGCACCTCGACCCCCTCCGCCCTCAAGACATTCCTCTCCAACGCCAAGAAGGGCAGCCTGCGCGCCGAAATAGCAAGCTACCTACAGTCGAAGCGATACCTACACCCCGCGCTCGCCTCACAACTCACCATCCCCAAGCAGAACAAGACCAAGAACAAAAACAAAACCAGTACCAACAACAACGTCCCGCCGAACCCCTACCTAACGTTCCTAAACTGGAGCTGCCGCAACCTCGAATGGGCCGGCCCCAGCGTCTCCTCGACCCTAGCAGGCAACCGCTCGCACCACGTACTCCCCGTCCTAATGCACCACTTCGGATGCGCCTGTCCCAGCCACGAAGCGCTCTCGATCCTGCGCGTGCTCGCCGCGGGGCGCGAGGTGCTAGACCTAGGGTCCGGCGGGGGATACTGGAGCTTCATGCTGCGACAATACGGGGTCCGCGCGGTGCCCGTGGACAGCGCCCAGAGCGCGTGGCGCGTGAACTGGGTATCCGACACGACGATCGCCGACGGCGCCGAGTGGCTGCGCAAGCGACGGCGCAACAACAACAGCACCAATAAATCCTCGGCCGGAAATAGCAAAACCAACACCGATATAGACCCCGACGAAGGGGTCCTCCTCCTCGTATACCCCATCGTCGGGGGCACCATTGCCGGCGGCGAAGAGGGCGGTTTCACGCGACTCATGATGGATGCGTATTCCGGGGACACGCTAGCCGTGGTCGGGACGCAGAATCACAACGGGTACACGGGATTTCGGGGCCTGAGCATGGACGAGTATATAGAACGGGAGCGCGCGGGCGAGGGTTGGGTCAAGGTTGTTCAGGTCGCGCTACCGAGCTTCCCGGGCAAAGACGAGGCGCTGTTCGTCTTCCAGCGTGGCACCAGGGCCCCGACTAGTACCGACGACGACACCAATGTAGCTAGCCAGATAGATGATAGCAGTGGTAGTAATTTGAAGAAAGATGGTACATGACTATAAAATGGTCTCTTACGGAGCTTTGTAGTGCTTAGTTTATATTGTCATACCTTACTCTCGTCTCTACTGTGGCACCTTAGGGGACTGATTCTAGGTAGGAAAGAAAAGAGTGACCTTGAAACTGGCATTAATAGGATAACTGCCTATCTTGATGGGCAATGACTAGCTTAATATAAGGCAGAAAATCATTTGTATTAAGGCAATCGAAAAGACATTAGGAGTTGGGAAGACCCCTACTCTAATGTTTGCCATGATTTATCTCATTAACCTTCGTCAAGTACAACTGCATTTCGGTAAAAGCTCTCCGCATTAGGTAACTAAGAAAAGAAGCTAGTAGCAAATTATCACCCGCGGGCGAAATCCACGGGCGAAATCCATCAGCCTGTCATGCTACCATGATAGGTGGTGGTAGTATCTCCTTAAACCTCAAACAACAACATCGATCTGAGCAGGAAACAACAAGTCCCCCGCTTAGATTTGTAAATATTACCCAGGTAGGTAGGTACCTAGTTAGACATATTCCAACATGGGAAGGTTGGAATTCCATCACCCCGAAATATTAACTCTCCAACCTTCCAAAGTCGCTTCCCCTTTTTGCAAAGTTATGACTCCGAAAGTCATATTAGACACTATAGTCCTCTCTTTAACTGCTATCGGCTGCACCCCTGCCATATTGCGCTAGCTTTTAGGCTTAACAGCCTTAGATATTTGCATGCTATAGGCCACGGAGATGGGGCGGGACCCATGCTTCAGACTGCTTCATGGGTTTGTTTTCTTTTTGCGTTGTGCGTTGAGTGAGTGATAATGGCTTCGTTTCATTTGGTGAACTAGAGGTATCTCCTTTCCCCGAGCCAAGTTGGAACACGCCGCCGGCTGGTTTCTCTTTAGCTGACTCCTCGAAACGATGTCGAGCATGTGATTTCGTATCGGGCTTCTCTAAAGGACCTCGGAGATGAGGAGGCGTTTGTTGCTCAGGGCTCTGGACTCGTTGTACGTGAGATGGCTGGAGCGCGCCCTCGCGACTGTGAACGCGAGAGGCACCCTGGTGGATGGATGGCGATACTGCTCTGATGCGCTTCTCAGATTCATGCGCGCCATTCTTAGATTTCATCTCCTTTTTTTGAGCTATTTCTTCCATGAAAGCCAAGAGATTCTGGTTCTCTGCCATCTTTTCCTGAATTTCTACCAGTTTGTTGGGCGGAGCTTTCGTAAGCTCCTTGATCAGATCCTCCTTCTCTTGGATAAGTGCCCGAATTGCTATTTGTGGGTCAATAGCGGGAAGTAGTTCCTCCATCTCAGCAGGAAGATTATTAGAAAGACCAGCTAGTCTCGTATTAGCCTTGGATCGAGGAGGCGAGACGGTTTCTGAAGCTTTTCCGGTCTGTACAATTACGGTCGGAGACTTCAAGGCTGCTACTCGGCTGTCCGAAGTTCGAGGCGTCCGGCTGGCGACGTGTGTGCTTTCTCCCGGGGACTTCGTAGACGTCACAGGAGGTATAACGGGGTCTTGACGGCGAATAGGCAGGTGAATTGAGTTCAACCAAATGCTACATTTATCGTGCAACGCGGGATCCTTAACCAGTAGCTCAGTCTGGCGGCCTTTAATCTCTTCAAAAACTAATCATATGTTAGCAGCAATCACTGGCGATAGTGCCTCGGTATACTTACAGTCAGAGATTCTCTTTACTATTGTCTGGGGAGATCCTGTACGAGTAAGGAAGTGGTTGTATATGGCTACCGATAAATAAGAGGCAGGGACCTCCAGTCGTCTTTGAATAACGCTGAGGTGGTTCGGATTGACACCAGGAGGTACATTAACCCTAGGAATGCACTTGCTGATTTCTCCAAACAGCCGATTAGCAGCCAGGTGTGTGGAATCGGTTGACTCTTTTATCCACTTTGGCTCATCCCAATCCCTACATCGTTCTCCATATGGTTTTGAGAAGCCAAACTGCTTCAAGGTCATGTCTGCAACCACGGCCGAAGTAGAGCGGTGCTCTATGATATTGAAGATTTCATGGCAGTCCCTGTAATCGGGATGATCGTTTCCAAGAAACATGTGGAAAGCGGCTCTAGCGCTTCGACCAAAGGGAAGCGCCCAGTATCCGGGCCAAGCAGCGAACGAGTCATATACAAGGTGCTTTATATGTTTTTCTTGCGACTTCTTATTGCCACCGAAAGCGCCTCCGAGAAACTCGAGTCGCTGCTCGTTCACTGTGGCCACGGCACCTACTCCAATCTTCTCCCACTTCTGTTTGAAGTGGCTCAATGGCTTGTGCTGACGGGGACCAACCAACTTCTGCCAGTCATCGTGATCGGCCTCAAAGTTAAAGGAGTGATCTTCATTCCCGGCGGACAATCGACCTGCGAGGGTGTTGTGAATCTTCACTTTGAAAGCCACAATCGCATCTTGCTGTTGCTGTGAAGGCTTTGCCGGACCGGGAAACCTGCCATCCTTCTTCTCCTTGTCAAGTTGATCCCAGTCAATAAAGGGACATGACCAATTTAGGAAGCTTTCAACAACATCCTTTGCAAATATTGCGCCAAACTGCCTTGCGAGGAACTCTGTGCGGTCGGCGCGCATCTTTCTAGCCGGTGGTTGACAAAAGGACGGATTGACTAGCCAACCTGCAGAGAATAGAGCAGGGGTGATAACGACAGCATCAGCATGCTCTCCAAGTGCCTCGCGCATTCGCTCGCTTGTAACCCGGAACTTGGGATCAGTCTCCCCAAAGAAGACGTCTTGCTCTAGTGTAGTAAGGCCACAAATGATAATGACTAGGGGAAGACCCTTCCCTTTAACGAGCCTAGACTTATCCGAAAGGGCCATAAGGAAATCCTGTATGAGCTTTTCGGCTGATGACTCAACCTTAATCTCGTCGTCTCGTTCCTGGCGATTTCCATGACGGTCGGTGTATGAAGAGGATGCTGCAGCGACATCGACCAGGCGATGGTCCTTTCCGTGGACGTAATGTTCAGGGTTATCCTTTACAATGCTGACAACATCACACTGGGAAAGCCATGTCTGAGCTTTCGAGTGAGTCTCGCCGCAGAGGAGTGCTTTGAATGCTAAGAAGTCGGCAATATGCCAACCGAGGTCATCAGTACCTGCACGTTCGTGAGACACAGCGCAGAGACCGATAACTCCGGAATCGGGGCTAATGTCTGGAATGGTGTGTGTGACGAATGAGGCATCAAGGACCTCAGGACTGGCATCGATATTGACGGGAACGAACGTAGGGGCCGATGGTGTGAGAGGCCTTCCCGCAGACCCAGCAGTCCACTTCGGAGTCCACTTCGGAGCAGACATCGTGATGGGCTGAGTAGCTAGATGATGTCGAGATATAGTAGTGAGTCTACGTGAAGACCCGGACTTAGTATGATGTGCTTAGGTAACTCTGTGAAATAGAGGGGGGTGGGCAGCGTTAATGGGGTAAACAATAATGATAAAGTACCCTGGATTATGCAGAAGAGAATGCCACGGTGGATATGCGATAGTCTAGGGATAGGATTAGAGGAAAGAAAGCCGTCGCCTGGTACGGCACCAGTTCCAGGACGAAGTCAAGCGATATGGTATAATGAGGGGGGAAGGGTAATAATTAGAATAATGAAAAGCAGGGCAACTTACGGCGCGTAGTATTCCTGGGAGAATAACAGGCGAGGAGAAAGATTTATTGCAGCCTTAGGATAAATTTTGGAATAGGTTAACGCGATTTCCTGCTTATAATTCAAGCAACACGTCACCTCTAGTAGGAGGTATGGTAGGAGGTCTGGTAGGAGGGACCTACCCAAGGCAAGTTCCGTGGATTGCCTGAAAGGGGAGTGGAAGGTGCGTATCTTTGGAATAAGCCTACAGCTTGAGGCATGTACGAATATTCGTGGATGCTATTAATAGCTATTGGTGGTTAAGGAGGTAGATAAGAGGTAGGGTAAGAGGTAGGGTAAGAGGTAGGTTGTGTATTTGTGGATGCACACAATAAAGGCTCACAAGAAAAGCAGCCAGGATACTGGAAACTCCAACTTGTTCTAGCAAGTTCTAACTAGGCACCTACACTGCTATATACCTGGTAGGCACCTGTAGCTACAGCTGCCAAGGACGGTGCCGCCGACTATACACACCCAGGTACATATCCGTAAATATCAGGGGAGTGGTATCATTCCTATCTCATTCAGGGGAAGCTTTCTTTGACAGCATATAAGAGACTAGAGGCTCACAAGTGTAACAGATATATGGTTTGCAATGGAAACGTTCAGTCCTTCTGCTTTGCCTACTATATACAAGGCCGATACTCCCCTGAATCCATGGCTTTATCTGGCTACGCGTTTATATATGTAAGTACTCCTCTAAAAGAACTGCTACTCGTTACTTTGAAATCACGTAGCCACATCAACTAATCACATCGACTCACACTTTCATCTACACATGATAATGTACGGCCAAGCTCGTTTTCAATGTATGGGTGTTCGGTCATTTTTTCTCAGTATTGACTTACACGCAGTTTACCTACTTCTTACCGGCTCATTTATAGTCGAGTGTACGTTTATGAGGATACCTTGAATAGAACATCATCTCTTTCTCTATCTTAATTAAGCTTTAAGCTGCTGCCGTAAGCTTACCTTTATTTAGTTTAATAGTAGATACCCATGATACCCGTAATAACACCTAGGAGTATGAGGTCCTATTGTATTAGTCAAATGACAGGATCACAAATTCGTCCTTAAATAGAGGACCATAGTCTCCGAATATTAGGTTATGTAATGTATAGCATTAATCATTAACAACTATTTTAAACTAACGCTAGAATGCAGGTATTCATGAGTGCAATCTGTTCTCGCTGCCTGTAATAACCCAGGTAAAAACCAGAAGGTAACCTTATCTAAGACCCTATATTATACACACCATACTGTCTCTATGCATTGGGGGTCTTAGAGCGTGTATTAGAGTCCTCGCAACACACTGGCGTCTCGTACGGCTGTCATTCTGTATAGGGGGGTATGTGTTTTCCTTCGCATCACGAAATGCCTCGAATGTGACAGTAACGTCTTCGTCTTCGCCGGACAGGCTACCACTTGGCACTCGACCGATCACTAGCGTCTCTTCTCTGAAAAAAGGTTCCCGCATATTGTGTTGACGAAGTATGCAGGCAACTTCTTGGTGAAGATTTGAGTAAAGTGCTCCCCTAAAGCGATCTCTGATTGC